CAGTCATAGATTGTTATTTGTGTGTCTCTATACTTAATGCCCATGACACTTTATTATTACAAACAACTAGGAAGTAGCTTTACAAACTAATGCAAAGGCAAGATTTAAAAAGGATTTTGATATATCTTTTGTTTAAACATTTAAACATTTGATTTTATTTTTCAATTGTTAGAATATCAGGATTGTTTTGAAATAGTATATACTTCATTTACTAAATTATTAGCCTCAGATCTTAACTCTTCAATATGATATATATTTTGTATACTATCCTCATCTTTCATTCTTTTCAAACATTTTTAATAAGTTCAATTAACATAACTTTCTAAATAAAAAAATTTTGAAATTATATAAACCAGAGAAGAAAATCAATAAAAAAGTCTGAATGAATACTTATTTTTCTTATAATTCCAATCAGATGAAGTAATTACCCAATGCAATTATGTAAAATGCAAGATAGACATATATTGAAGAATATTTTTATGAGATTAAGTAAAGTGTTGGACTACGATTTATAAAAATTCACTAGCTTTTTCATGCTCTACTACTATTGGCTACTATGCGACTTAGCACTTAAAGGTTATAATCGTTAAACTTAAGGTAGAGTTTATTTATCTACATGCACTTTAGATAATTTAAGATCGTCTTGGCATAAGGATTATATATAAAATTGGAAGCTAATACTTTATCAGAATGTATTTAAATTAAATAAAGAGGGGTAAAATTTGGATGGATATAAAAAAATTGTGTTGATTGAACTTTCTTACTTATCTCATCTGCTGATAATACTTTGAGTATTAGCAATGATATTTATAAGTGAGTGAGCCAGTGTTGTAGATTATGATAGATTTGGTAGTATTAAATGTGTTAATTGAGATATTGAGATTTAAATTTCAAATATTTATGTGACATTATTTGGACAAATATAAAATTAATATTAATCCTAATTGTCAGCTTGCTATTTCAATCTTCAAAGTTTATACAGCATTATATAAATGCTAAGATATTGATGAATAGGACAAGATGATTAAAATATAGAATATACTAATGGAAATTGTTGTATCTGGAATGATTCTAGTAAAGATAAATCCTGTCAAACTGCTGATGATACACTTTGTTATCATAGTGACACTACTTTTCTAAATGTTTTTATTACATTTAAAAGAATTGTAATATGCAATTAAAACAGAGTCTAATAATCTAGGGGCCAAGACCAAATAAAATAGGCTTAAAATAATACCTAACATGGACTGAAATAGCTTCAAAATGTATTAAAGCATTAATCGATGGAATCAAATCTACTAGAGCAGGCTTTATTCTAGGTTATTAATAATATTTGTGAGATGAGCTAGCTCGGCTTATGTTATTACATAAACAAATTACTCAAGGTTTAACAATAGAGTATAAATGTAAAACAAAATTTTGGAGTTTTCACGTCTATTAAATGATTACATTTTCTAAGAATTGAATTCTTAATATAATCTTAAAAAAAAGATAAGAAGCAGGTATTTAAAATTCACTGTAAACAAGTTTTAATATTAAGATTATTAAAAAAAGAGTTGATCTTATCAAAATAAATATTTAACTTTCTCAAACCAAGTTTCTTAATCATTATTTAATGATTATTTAAGATCATTCTACAAGAATATCTGATTACCTTTTACAGAGAGCTATAGATATTAATAAACACTTCTGATTTTGGTTATTGGGAATATAATTTTAATTATGGGCCAAAATGATTATTTTATGTATCTTTAGTTATTCCAATACTATTGTATTTCAGTCAATAATATGGAGTAAACAGAATAAGAAAAGTAAGAAATAATGGCTAAGATAGATGAGGTTTGATTTTTTTAGATGTTTTTCTTCTGTATTAATTTTCTATTAGATTTACAAATACATCGATAGGCATTTATATAGTGTATTATTATAAATAGAAATTAATTTTCAAAATATATAAATTATTTGAACAGATATTTTTATGGTCTTAATACCGTAATGCCTAAGAAAATTTATCTATCGAAGTGTTGTCTATTCAATATAATCTATATATTCTATTTGATTTTGGAGACAAATTTAATGTTTTGTATAATAAAATTCTAAGCCTATCACTAATTTCATTTGATTTTGATTACTTAATGCTTTGAAAATACTTTTAGTGATAATGATTTACAATAATGATAATTCTTTTTGAAGGAATATGATTTGAAAATTATAATTTAAGATTTAGTTAACCTCCAATGTTATTAGGCTCAATAAAAAAGTTAGGAGTATATTATGTCATCAGCTGTTTTTATTAAAACTTTCTATAATAATCTCGATTTACAAGACCTTGGCGCCTATGTTTTAAATATTAAATAGGTTAATTTATCCTATCTATTTGTTTTTAAATCTTGAAATATAACTAATTTAGCAATTAATTAAGGATTAAATTAATTTTTAATTATAAAATTAATCCTACTTTTTATGCATATAAAACATAATATTCAAAATTATTTTTCTATTTGAATAGTAATTATTATTTTTAAATTCAAATAATTTGTCGAATTGTTAATAATGCAAATTATTTTCCTTTACTTGATAAATCAATAATTTTTATATAAATCCCAAGATTTTCACTAACTTGAATTTGCACTTATTAAATCAGATTGAATCATATTCCCTAATCCTTAAATTTCTTAAAGGCTTTAATTTTATATATTCAAAAGATTCTGAGTGTTATTAACTTCTATGTAAAACTATCTAATTTAACAGATGAATTATTGTATAAAGTTGATTTTTAAAGAATAAAATATTTATTGAAGATAATACTCCAATAATCTCAAAAAATACATTAAATAATTATCCGATATAAAATAAATATTATTTCATACCAGCTTAAAATTGACAAAATTGCAGAAGAATTAAAATTTTGGTTAGATAAAAATTTAAATGTATAGATTAATAAAATAAAAAATATCTAATAAAAATAACCTAAAAAATTTGTAATTATAATTAGATCTAGTCTTTTAATAATAGATCTTATTTTAAAAAATTGAAATTAATAAAAATGAATATGAAAGAAAATCAAATTATATTTTTTTAAATCCATTCATCTTAGTCAACAATTTTTTATAAACTATGTAGATCTATTCTAAATCATTTTTTGTTATTGTCCATAGATATTAATGAAAAAAGCATTAAAATAACTAGCTTCAAGTTATTAAACTTTATTGTTATGAGCAAGTATTTTTAATGATCCCAGACCTGTAAGCTATGAATAATCTTAAGGATAGAATTAAAAAAATAATAATCTAAATAATCACCATAGCTCAAATTGTTATATAGCAGGAAATTAAAAAATATGTAGGAGGAGATATAATAAGCTGGAATTAGGTTCAATACGTGTTGCCCTAATTATACTCAAATAGAATATATAAAGGTATTAGCCTGGCTTCATTAACTTTATAATTCTGTGAAAGTTTATTCCTTTTCCAAAATCTAAGAAGTGATTTTGATAAACAGAGTTGAAAACTGTTTTCAATTCACCAGGAATTCTTGTCTCTTGCAACTTTGATAAAAATTTCAAATGACTTTTGATAAATATTTTTTAATGTTTCAACTATTTAATATTTTATTCTTACCTATTACACATTCGAAATAATAGGTGAGTTAACCTCGACTCTAATTACCAAAAATATAAACTAATATATTCAAATAACCATATAAAACAAAAAAATATATTCTAATTCAATATAAATTATGCATTACATCTCTTATATAATATTAATAATCAATCAGCATATTTTATCACGTCTACTTCTTTAAAATCTAAGTGATTTTCATATCTTTCCTTTTAAATCCAGGTACCAACTTTTTAACCACGTTTAAATTCTCCTTCGTAAATAATTTAAAATGAATCTGTAAAAGGATCGTGCAATTCTATCCATTTACCAATCTTAATCATATCACCTTATTCATCATATGATCCACTGCCACTAAATTAGTTATACATAATAGTTTAATACATCTTTTTTGCTTCATACTATATCTCCCATAAACCTATTTTCTTGCCATTCTTATATTCCCCTAAATAAGTGACTTAGGAAAAATCACTGAAATCATGAATTACCTCAGTCCATTTCCCAATCTTACATCCATTACCTACTTCATCATATGACCCACCACCACTAAAAATTTTTAATTTATCTTACATCTTTTCATATTTTAGGTCATGATAATTTTTCTAATACCAAATATCCCATCTACCAACCTTTTTACCACATTTATAATCACCATGATAAGAAACTTACGATGTACTATTAAATTCTTCAGTTATCTCAATCCATCTCCCAATCTTACACTCATTACCACTCTCATCATATAATCCACCACCACTAAAATATTTCGAAGTAATTTTAAATAATAATATCTTACATATGTTTATACAATTTTTCGTAATGCCAATAAGAATCCCATCTACCAACTTTCTTACCATTTATATATTCACCATATTATCTAACTTAACAAGTAGCTTTAAATTTGTCACTCAACTCAATCCATCTTCCAATCTTGCACTCATTCCCCGCTTCATCATATTATCCACCACCCCTATATAAAATAATATTTAATATTCATCTTTACAATGCTGGTTATTTCATCGGATTCTCTTGTGTCTTAAAAATTTTCCAACTACCAACTTTTTTCCCCCCTTTATATTCACCAGCATATATGTAATTCAAATGGCCATAATTACAA